CCCCGGGATGGGGCCGCGCAGAAACCGCCCTCTGCGTGTGGAGAGCGGCGACCTGGTAGCGCCGTTCCTAATTGAATTGATTGCCCCGGAACGTCTCATTTCCTTACTGGTCAGAGCGAGGTGTAATTGTTATAAAAACCTGGCTCCCCGACTAGAAACGGGGTTAGCAATTTCACGGGTTATATACTCTAGAGAACCTCATTAAGTGCTTTTTAAAATGAATTTCCAGTTCCAGGCTAACCCCGACTACCAGATGAGCGGAGACGACACTCAGCACATCCAGCAGTTCTATGATCTCTTGACCGGCTCCATGGAGATCATCCGAGGATGGGCGGAAAAAATCCCCGGCTTCACTGATCTTCCTAAAACGGACCAGGACCTGCTCTTTGAATCCGCCTTCTTGGAGCTGTTCGTGCTGCGGCTGGCATACAGGTAAGCGGCCAGAATCCGAGGGGGGAACTTCTGGGCGATCGTGAAATGGGATCCTTTCAAGGTCCACTGATCTGCGTTTTATTAACTCCTCGGTAATTAGGTGCCTCTTAAATCCTTCATTTATTGCTCCTCAAGTAATTAGTTGTTTAGCTTTTCTCCCCTCATCTTTTCTTGTCTTTTTCTTTTTTTTTTTAATCTTTCTTTCCCTTTCTCTCTTTTTTCTCTTTCACCCTCTCTTCTCTATTTGATTTTTCTTTCTCTCTTTATCTTTATTTCTTTCTCTTTTTCTCCTTTCTCTCCTCTTTCTCTTTTTTATCTTTCGCCTTTCTCTCCTTTTCTCCTTCTCCTTCTTTCTTTTCTTTCTTTTTCTCTATCTAATTTTTTCTTTCTTACTCATTCACCCATCTGTTCATTTTGAGTTTGTCGCATTCCTTCCAGGTCAAATCCAGTGGAGGGCAAGCTTATCTTCTGCAACGGGGTAGTCCTGCACCGGTTGCAGTGTGTCCGCGGCTTTGGGGAGTGGATCGATTCCATTGTTGAATTTTCCTCCAACTTGCAAAACATGAACATCGACATCTCTGCCTTCTCTTGCATCGCTGCCCTGGCTATGGTCACAGGTCAGTGTCCCCTCTTTTCCGCCCGGCCCCACCGGGCAGCTCCTTTTCCCTTCCGCCCGCCTTCCTCTCCCTGTCAGACCTGTAACGTCCCGCACCCTTCTCTTTTGCAGAGAGGCACGGGCTTAAAGAACCCAAGAGGGTGGAAGAACTTCAAAACAAGATTGTAAATTGTCTCAAAGACCATGTGACTTTTAATAACGGGGGGCTGAATCGCCCCAACTATTTGTCCAAACTCTTGGGGAAGCTCCCTGAACTTCGCACGCTTTGCACGCAGGGGCTGCAACGCATTTTCTACCTGAAACTGGAAGATTTGGTGCCACCGCCAGCAATAATCGACAAACTTTTTCTGGACACTTTACCTTTTTAAGACTCTTCCCATGCACTCCCACTGAACTGAAGAGAAACTTCACCTGTCTGAAGGGGAATTCGTCTGGGCCCAAAGCAGCACCTCTGGGTGCCAGCTTCCCATCCAAAACAGTGTTGCTAACCTCCTGCAGGCAGAACCTGAATGGGCATTTTGGCTCTGGGGCATCACGGATGCAGATCATGGACTACACAAATACCATGGTATAAACTTTTTATTATCAGCTTATAAATGAATTTATTATTAAGGACTTCTGATTAAAAAGGTGAACATATCTGGCAACGCCGGGTGCGCAGCTAAGACTCATACGGTGACAAACAAAGCGTTAAGGTGACCCACAAGTCTCACCCTCCTACAGACTAAAGTTTTCTGCTGTAAAAGAAAGCTGTAATATATACAAAACCTAAATGTTGCGTGGGTGGCATGTCATTAAAGAAGACGAAGGCTTGTAAATTTATCAGATGCAGTTTGGCTTTTTAAAAATTATTCTGTGCCTATTTATGAAGAAATATGGAAAACAATTCTAAAAAAGCCCTAAAAATAAAAGCTAAACAGGTTTGCAAAAAAAAAAAAAAAAAAAGGAGAATAAGGAGAAAGAAAAATAAATCCCTCCGTACCAGGAAAGCATGACGATTCTAGGGTGACAATGTTATAGGCACTTGCTATTTCAGTAATGTCTATATTCTATAAATAGTATTTCAGACACTATGTAGTCTGTTAGCTTTTATAAAGACTGGTAGTTATCTAAGCTTCAAACATTTTCTCAATTGTAAAATAGGTGGGCACAAGTATTACAAACCCCCAAATCCTCCCCAAAGGGACACATAGTGTTTGTAAACACCGTCCGACATTCCTTGTTTGTAAGTGTTGTATGTACTGTTGATGTTGATTAAAAAAGAAGTTTATATCTTGATTATTTTGTTGTCTAAAGCTAAACAAATCTTGCATGCAGCAGCTTTTGACTGTTTCCAGAGTGCTTATAATATACATAACTCCCTGGAAATTACTGAGCACTTTGAATTTTTGGTTTGTTTTGTTCCGGTTTTTTTATGTCTAAAATTGTCGGTTAATATATTATTTTCTGTTCGAGTAATATTTTTAATATTGCCATATTCTGTAGTATTTTTCTTCGTATGTTTCCAGTATGGCACATGATACAAGTCAATGCCTTTTTTTCTATGGTGTATGACAGTTAGAAACGCCGATTTTTTTTTTTTTCCCCTCCTGATAACTCTTTCTTTGAGAAAGACAATTTTAATGTTTACAACAATAAAACATGTAAACGAATGGAATTTCGTCTTCTTTCTGTCTAAGCGAGAAGCACCACCGCCAGCATCCATTGCACATAGAGGACAATAGCCTCTGACAGTGTAGTAATAAACCGCAAAGGAGAATGGATGGGGCAGTTTCCTTTCAGTAGCGTGTGCGGCAGGACTCGCCGGCTCTGCGGGAGGAAGAGGAGGAAAGCCCGAGGCTCGGAGGTTGGTCCTTTCCCACATTTCTTCCACGGCAGGTCTCTCTGCAGCATCCAGACCCCGCTCTTGCGGCGGGGCGTCCAGCCGTCCTCCCGCGCAGGCGTTCGCTTAGGCAAATACCTTCTTACCGGTGTGTGTGTGTGTGTGTGTGTG